CTTGATTGTTTGCTTCAATTGACTTGAGAACCGGTTATCTCGTTGCGTCTGGTGCACAAATGTCGTCAATGTGCACCACCAAGCTCCCAGTGAGTAAACTGATACAAGTTCCAAGTGAATAGTGCTCGTGGAGACACTCATCGATACGCCTCATCTTCCAGAACAAAATATTCGGCATCCATAGTGTTGAGCGGTTATGTTTGTATGCAAACTGATAAACGTCATGGGAGTGGTGCTGAGAGGTAACTGAAGATGATGCAGAACTGATCGCTCCCTCAATTTCAAACCAGTGAAAGTGAGAACAATTGAAATATTTCGCGATTTGGGCCTTTATCTTTCCTTTGGGAATGGGTGTAATTCTCACCGAGTGCCAGGAATTCGGAATAGTTCAGATTTGGAGTGAAAGATTAGCTATGTGCAAAAATGTGAGACAAGGTTATAACACCGTGTTTAAAAAGTGTAGGGCTTAAGTTATCTGGACTAGGTGAGGTCGACACCTTGAGAGAACGTATGTGTTTGTACATTTCACTGCAGGTAATGGGTTCAAACGAAGATGGTTTGCTCGAAGAACTTGAGTCAATAGAACTGTGACACGTGTGAAACGAAGAATGAATAAATGCAGTATTCGGTTGTTTAGTACAAGCTTACCATCAAATCGTTCGCGGCCTCGTGACGTTTGATCCAATTCTTTCCCTGTGATTGCGGATCAATCAGGAGGGGATAACGTGAGGCGGAGGTGACAATGATTGCGTTCTGTACAGACAAATCGTCACTGGGCAATCCCTCCAGATTCCATTCGCTCACCTAGATTGTTAAATGCCGGGGAAAATCGAAAGAAGAAGATGTAGGTGGGCGTAAGGGAATGTCAGACAGTCACCCATTTTACACAACTAGTCCCAATTCTGTAGAGCTGGATCACGTTCGGCTAAATTTCATGCATGGATATCAAATTTTATACAAAAGGCAAATTTACCAATATCCAATTAACTTTATATATTCTCCCGGAAACGCTGCCAATCGTTTTATCCACCAGACGTTTGTTGATGAAATACTCTCAGGTCCGAACCCAGACCCAAAGAGATTTTAAGCTAATCTCTTGTTATTCACTGAGATCGACCCTCTCTCAATCACTCAGTTTGAATAATCATCAACCAGGTGCTTTCGTGTTGCGGTTTTGGTCGCTGTCTTTTGGCTGCTCATTTGGAGTAAAAGGAAGATTGAGATGCTGAAAGTAGTTTGAAGGAGAAAACATAGAACTCCTGTGGACTCAGGTTGCAAAGACAATGAGTCGGTGCACGAAGGTTACTGTTCACTACACAACCATAATATTCATTGTCCCAAACCAGCGATCACAATGATCCCGAGGTCCCCAATCCAGGAAGCCTTGTGCGACCTATGTGAGCAATTCTCATGGTTAGGGTTTTCATACCCTCACTGTCAGGT